CACATCGGGGGTGAAGGCCGAAGGGTGTCCTCCTCCAGGTGCTGTCCTCCACCCTCTCCCTCCTACTGCATCAGAGACCTGTCCGATATCCCATGATTCTTGGTTTCTGTCTTTATCACTGCCCTTATCGTTTTGTTCTATAGTTATCTTCTTGGGGCTAAGCAGCTTCCTGATACAACCATGAGCTCCTGGAGGAACTCTTGGTGCTTTGCTGGAGTTAGTGAGTGAATGGATGCACCCCTGCCTCTTGTGGACTTGGGATTCTTCCTCTTTATTGGAGCAAATGATGTTCTTCCTGAGTCTACCTAACCCCAGCCTTTACCTTGTGTTCTTGGTATCTTTCCTTCCGCCTTTTCCTCTTCTCCTCTGGCTGACCAAACCCTACCTTCTGTCTCCTTCCCCTCCCTGGTTTACCAGAGACTTTGTCTCGGGCCATCATCATATTTGATTTCATGGTAACTCGGTGAGGTAAAGATGTGTACAGGTATGAGTGAAATATGTGCTGAATATTTAAATAAAAATTATTATGGTAAAAGACATGTATAATCCCTCCTTGTTTTGAACTCACTTGTTCCATCATTCTGGCCACTTTCTGAAACAGTTCTGGAAGTCCTTTTATGTGAGTGACTGTACAAGGTGTGATAAGATATTGTGAATGCCGTCCTGAGTGCCATTCAGTCGAAAGGCAAGTTCATAAAAACATCATGGTGTGGTGTCCATCATTCACATTCACTGGATATGGCACATGCAATCTCTGACTCTTCCTCAAAGTTAAAATGAACATGAAATATAAAGGTTCTAAAGTGACAGAAGCATTGAGGTAGCCACTACAGTTCAACTAAAGACACTCATGAAAGGGCGCTTCCAGAGCTGCTTCAGAAAGTAACAAGAAAATGGGATAAGTGTATTTGAAGCAAGTGGGGAGGGGGTAGTATTTTGAGTGGGATTAATGGCAACGTGTATTTTACTGTAATACATCTTTAAAGACTTTATCAATCACCATATTTTTCAATCACACTTTGTATATTGTACCCATTTAGAGGAGGAGTAAATAGACCCTTAAGCGAAGTAAATTTTCTGATGTTACCCAGCTGGTGAGTGGCAGAGCTGAGATTTGAACACAGCTCTGTGCTCTTCCTTATAAGCTCTATTGTTGCTCAATAAAACTTTGGTAAATTAGATGATGTTCTGCTTGCTAACCAAGCCAAGGGATGAATTGTTTTGTATAAATTAGAAATGAATCCTTAATTTACCTTTCTCATAACTTGAATTTTTCTGCTTGATTTAATTGGTTGTACATTGGCTATAAGACTGAGTGAATTTCATTTCAAAACAAAAAAAAAATCTGACTCTCAAAACTTTAGCTGATTGTTCTAACTACTAGTTAACTTTAGTGTAATCTGCATCACTGGTTAATTTCTTCTGGGAAGATAGGTTTTAGTGTTTGAAAGTATGGAATGGGTATTTTCATTTTAATCCACTGAAAGGGAAAATCAAATTATCTTTTAGGCAAAATCTAGTCAAGGCTAACTGGCCAAATGCTACAATTAAATGATTACAAGGTAGAAAGTATTTTTCTAAGAGTATTGGGTGTGGCAGGAATGTGCTTGTCATCTTGTCAGTTATTCATTTGATGCATTTGTTATTTTTATCATTAGGCTTCATCTTAGCTCTCTCCCACTTTTCTATAGCGGAGCATAACCTCTCTGAGCTCATTACACGAATATAGCTATGTTAGAAATAGAGAGCAAACTTCTGTATTGCATTTGTGTCAGTGCTTAAAAATGGGAGTGTCCCCCTGTAATTCTGTTAAAAAATTTTCCTTTTCCAATGAAAGATAATGAAAACCTCCTTAAATTTTTTCTATCCATGTCATTTATGTGTTTTGTGCATGGACATTAAAAGAAATGAAAATTTGACATCATTGGTTGGCATTTTTAGTATCATGTCCTGATACTTATCTTTAAAAATAAAGACATGGTTAGGATAATAAAGGAATTCAGAAAGGGAGGAAGCTCTTTTGGTTTAAAGGAGTTGATTTTGGGTATTTTAGTTTTGATAATGTTAGGGGAAATAACTCCAGAAATACCCTAGTAAATGTGCTGTTAGATAGCATTACTATTTTAGTGATTACTATTACTATTAAAGTTCATTGAGGGCCGGGGACATAGCTCAGTGGCATAGCACCTGCCTGGCAAGCACAAGGTCCTGAGTTTGATTTCTAGTAACCCCCCCCCACCACCAAAAAAAAGAAAGAAAAAGTTCACCGAAATAGCATATATAATAGTTCAGGAAACTGGCTTTTATTTACATTTAAAAATGTATTCTTATCACTCCTTCTGAGGATTTATTAATACAATGTTTTTGCGTTTAGTTAACATTACTTAAAATTTAGGCCAAATTTGAATGTCAAGGTTCAAAACTGAGCTGCAAGATGTTCAGGATGAATAAGGCTCCTAAGCAAGGCTGTAGATCCCTTGTACCTCCATCTTTACAGAGTACCTGAGGGCTTATGGAGAGAAATGAAGTGGATAATTAGGTGAAACTTGAAGTGAAAGCTGCAGAGGTGTGTTTCTAGGTGATCCCTGTTTGATTCAGAGAAACTCATAGTATGGGCTCCGCTGGGAAGCTATACTTGATAGCTTGCTTGTCCCCAGCGTACTGTTCCCGTTGGTTTCAGTCTGAGTCCTCATGAGTCTGGAAGGGTTTGATCATTTTGTATCCCTGATCGAGGCTTTGGCATCTAGCTGGGCACAGTCTCTGCTGCTGAGAAGTACAGGTGTGGTAGAACCGGGTACTTTGCAGCTTTGGTGCTTATGTCGACAGACTTTCTAAACATTCTAAGTTCTGTTTGGAACTCACGGATCCAGCCTTTCTACTTCTCCCTTCTGTCAATGAAATCATAGATCTGAAGGTATGTTTTTACTTACAAATCTTGTCTGTCCCTCCCTACACCTTTGCTGAGTCTGTGGTAAGAAAAACTATTTTATTGTCTCTTATTCAACTAAAAATCCTTATAAATTCAGTGATTGATTCTTTCTATAGAGACCCAGGATCTGAAAAACAAGATAAATACTGTCTGGCATATTTATGGAATAGATGGCATAGATGTGTGGCTTAGATAGCTTGTCCTACCACAGAGATCTGTGGTCTCTGATTTTTGGTGATTGGCATAGACTTAGATTTTTTTCCTCTTTTGTCTTTTCACTCCACTATATACGGCACAGGCATCTTTGTCTTTTGGCATCTGGTGACATTTATTTTCTTTCTTCTCTCCTCTCTACCTTCAGGAGAACTCCTAGAAAATATCTCGCAAACATTTTTACCCTGAGATATAAATGGGTGTGATCAGTTTCCATACCTTGTTTAATCTAGAGCTACTAGGTGACAGAAGAATGTGTCTATAAGTGTGGATTTCTAGGAGTGATCTAAAGAGGAAGATATGTGTGAGACAGAACTCAAAGTATAGTTTTCACCATGGCTTCTGCCAGGCATCAGTTTATACCCACCCATCACTTTTGGAATCCCCAATTCCCTAATAGAGAAAGACCATGAAGAGATTTACAGTCTGATTTGAACTTTCTTGTTCATGAGGTTTTCACTAAGGCTGGGCACTGGAATTGCCAGAGGTGCTTTCTGAGGCCTCACCTCAGACCTAAGCAGGAAGATTCCTCAGGCTTAAGACTTGGCCATCTGCATTTTTAAAATCTACCAAATCCTTGTAGTACCAAGTCATTGTATTCACACAAGGCGGATAGCAGTAAACAATCACGTCACTAGTAAAGACATATAGAATCTTAACGCAGGCTCAATTCATTGTGGGCTTTGAGATTGCTTCAGTATACTCTGTAACTTCACTGTTTACTGGCAAACAGTGATGAGTCAGCATTATTTAGGTCACATAGCTGTTGGTTTCTTTCATGCACAAAATTGTCCTGTGACCTTCCTAAGAGACAGATATGGAGAACTTGGAGGTGATCTGGGGAATACTCAGAATTTATAACTTTCCTATGGGGAAAAACTGAAAACAACATAGTGTTTAACTTTGGAAACCCTCCACATGATCGTTTATGAAGAATTAAGGATTAACCTGGAAAGTTTAGTCTGAAAGGTTGGCATACGTTTGGGGCTAAACACTGCAAGGGACACAACATAGTTCTTTTACTGAATCATGTTTTTGTAGCCTTCTGTGGCTGCCTGCTGGCATTCTGAGATTACCGTCACGGCCGTGGAAGCCTGACTTTCCGCTCTGTTCCTAAGTGCTGAATTAACAAGTCATGAGAGCCTCTCTTCATCCATTAATTTGGATTTCAATGGAGGAAACACCTGTAGGTAACAGGTGGTGACATCCTTGGAAGAAAGGAACACAGTCCCCAGACTTTGTCTTGTGTCTTCACTAACTCATGACTTCAGTTTTCAAAGACGTCCATAGGTATTGTTGTTGTGTATATGACTATTAGATACTTTAATTTCATTCAGATGGACAGATGGTGGTTATTCTCCAAGACACTTAAAATAGCTTAAAAGCTCTACATGCGCTCACTCCTGAAGTCCATTTGCTTCATCTTGTTTCGAGCCATTACCCAGCGTGCACAGGACCGGAAAGCTACTCCTTTCTGGCGTCCAGCATCTGTCTGAGTGCAGTTCACTTAATCCAGTTTGGGACCAGCGGCTACAAATGTAAAGGGGAGTGACATAGGGGAAAACTGCATTTCCATTTGCATCTTACGTCTGCATGGTTTGGTGTGGGAGCTCCCCAAAGATCGTGTCACCTCAGTGTGTCACCGTGTTGGGACTGCCGCGTCCTTCTGTTTGAGACTGCCTTGCTGAAGTGCAGTGTTGTGTGGCTCAGTGTATTTTATTAAGAGGGTGGAATGGAGAAGGCAGACTCAAACCATGTACTTCCAGCTGAAGCTGAGTTTTCCTGGAGGTTTGTGAAAGGGTTTGCATTTTCTCTATGACTTATGCAAACTTATTTACCTCTGTTCTTGCTCTTTAAGATCCGGCAGTGGGAGCAGAATCTGGAGAAGTTTCACATGGACCTGTTCAGAATGCGCTGCTACCTGGCCAGCTTACAAGGTGGGGAGTTACCGAACCCCAAGAGCCTGCTTGCTGCCACCAGCCGCCCCTCCAAGCTGGCCCTCGGCCGGTTGGGCATCTTGTCTGTTTCTTCATTCCACGCTCTGGTGAGTTCCGAGGAAGGCTGTCCCGGCAGCCTTCACAGACGATTGTAGTTGCTCCCCTTTCTCCAGCTTGGTGCCATAGGCTCTGCCTGCACTTACCCCAGTAACTGACAGGGGTCCCCCAGAGTGACGGAGGGGAGGAGACTGTGAAGAGTCCCCGGATGTTCTACACTACTGGTTCTGGGAATCTAGCTGCTAGTGGGCAGTTACTACATATTCAGACCTGTGTCTGCCTTCTTGCCTTTGTCTCCTCATAACAATGGCCAGGGTGTTTCTGGGGAATATCCACAGTGCTGTGGAGATTGAAAAGCTGATGGAAGGGTGCTCAACCTTTACTCCAGACAGTCCCTGTGGGTTTTCTGAAATCACTCCTACTTTGGTGGCTTCTTTGTCTTAACTGGCTCAGCCTGGGAGGTCTGTAGGTTGTTTTGCTGACACTGCTGCCTGCTGTGGCAAGATCTGAATGTTGTAACTGGGCTTGAGCTCCTAGATAAGAGATATCTCTATGGTGGGCACATTTTTGATATATCAAAGATGCAGGAGCCTTTGACACTGATCACTGTGTTTATAGCAAGCAGAGCTTATTTTGATTAGGGCAATTTTCTCTATCACCCACAAAATACACTTTAAGATTGTTTTGAACTGTGTTTTAAATTAGGTATGCTCTAGAGATGACTCTGCTCTTCGAAAAAGAACACTGTCACTGACCCAGCGAGGGAGGAGCAAGAAGGGCATATTTTCTTCCTTAAAAGGGCTGGACACCCTGGCAAGGAAAGGGAAGGAGAAAAGAGCTTCTGTCACTCAGGTGAGTCCTCAGCACGTAGGAACAAGAGCCTGAAGTGAGCTCCCTGAAGCCCTTCTTTTCTGCCTGCTGCAAATAATTGAAGTTCATCCTTTAAGGGTGGGATGAAAGGTGAACAGAAATCAAAGCAGTGCAACCATATTGTAACCTTTTACCCCTACATGAAATACACAGGTTGCGCTGTTTGCTCTAGCATGCCCGAGGAGGCAGGTGCACCTTTTGTAGCATCTGGGAACACAAAAATATGGATTATTAGAAAATAATCATTACCTTTCATGACCTTTAGTACTAATACTTATTTTTTCCATAGTGATTATATTAAAGTGAACGTGGAAAGTTAGTAATCATCAGAGCAACTACAGCTAAATTCTATCACTAGCATTAGATGCTTTGTTTACTCAAGCCGTAAAATATAAAGCAGGTTTTTGTCAGCCCGCTTACCTGATGAGAAGCCACACATGGAGAGCTGAACCTTACCCCTGTTCACCGGCACCTGAGGTACAGGGCTGGGATGCTCACCTGCCTTAGTCCAAAGCCCCGAGTTGCTGGAAAACTGCTGCTGTTTATTTTCCCTTGACGGGGTGATGGCTTTTTAAATATCTTACCAAGAAGAAAACGAGCCTGATCATTTATTGCTAAAATATGGCCAAGTGCAATGAATTATGTTTAGAACATTTTGAATATGCACATCTGAAGTATTTCATAATGCCTATAATATAGTTTATATTAATGAATTGTGTCTTTTTGATTTATTTATATTAGGATTTTTAAAACGGTTGAAAATATAAAGTTAGATGATCTGATCATATAAGTGAATAGGGAAAATATTTGCCATTAAGTCTCAAGAAGTCCTTCTATTTATTTTCAGTGGGGTGCTATTATTTTGAATATGCTTTCAGTGTCATCTGAGAAAGTGATGTTTCTTGAACTTTATTACCTGATTTGTATATGGCTATCCAATTTTATGAATTAGATGACAAGGGGCTAGTATCAACATCTTTGGCCTGTTGAAACAATAAAGTTAGAGTTTGGTGGAAAGTGGCTTGGTTGAGAGACAGCAAAAATGCATGAAACTTCTGTTTTGTTTTGTTTTGTTTTTGAGATAAGGTCTCACTGTGTAGTTCAGGTTGGCCTTGAACTCACTATGTAGCGTAGGCTGGCCTTGAACTCACTGTGTAGCATAGGCTGGCCTCAAACTCGTGGCAATACTCCTGCTTCAGCCTCCTGAATGCTGGAGTTACAGACATGCACCACCATGTCTTGTTCTGCATTAAACTTCTTTTATGTGGCCACTGCTTTTGTATACTTTTATATATAAAGAATATCACATTTTAAAGTTATAGTACATATGTTTTAATTTAGTTGTAAACAGCAATCCTCTGTTGATTATAAATGGAAACATTTTCATTATATATTATAATCAACTCTGAATGATTGACCAGTGCTTTCTGAATTAAACTTTATGATGTATAAGGTTGTTAACCAATTCTGATTTTAATCAAGATAACCAATTCAGTGTGAGTGATAACTTAATAAATAACTTCATAACTTAGTAAATAACATGATAATTTATTTTTCTTAGATTGTAGACAGCTAATTACCTAGCATATGGGGTACATGTTCTCAACAGAAGATTTTTTGATAAACAAAAACATTTGATTGAACATTTTTTGTTTTAAAAGATGTGAAACCAACTACAGTGTTAGTATTTATATAATTGAATAAAATTGATTTAGTAAGTATTCCTAAATGGTTAAAGGCCTTAAATGTTAATATTTTATAAAATTTATAAGATAAAAATTTGGAAAATGATCCCTAATCTCTCCAGACATAACCACTTTTAACATTAAGCTATCCTTTTTTTCCAAAATTTATTCTGTGCACATTTAAAAAATAATTATAACCTTGATTTTGGTGACTTTGCCAACTCTGAGATCTGTTCAGCATCTTCAGAAATAAGTACTTGGTTTAAAGCAGCATCAAGATTCAGACTGATTTGAATAATAAATGACATCATAAAATGTAAAATATGTTAACTCTGTGGAGAGAGAAGGAAAGCAACTTTTTCTTCAAAATTTTGTGTTAGAATATTAGTATAAATTGTGAAATACAGGTTTTGTGAAATGTCACATTTCTTAATACTGACAAAGATTGGGTACTGAATGAACATTGCAGTCATTTCATTAGTCTTTTTCCCCCCGTATCTGTCAGATATTTGATTCCAGTGGCAGCCATGGATTTTCTGGAACTCAGTTACCTCAAATCTCCACTAACTCCAGTGAGGTAAATTTGGCTGTAGGCAGCAGCCATCTTGTTTTACATTGGTGACACAATGCTCAGCGAAGTACAGAGTGATGATTCAGAATCTTTGCATTAATCTATTGAAGATAAATTTAGTCAAAATGATAAACTAAGAGATTCTTTGAATGCCAACTAGTTTTGGAGGTGTCTGGACTTACAACATCATCTTAAAATTAGCGACATGACTGAAGTGACAATAGCTTCTCTCATTTATACTTCTCTGCTTCTTAACAGTACTTACCTTCATCTGAGGTTTAGTGGGTCTCAAGTTGCATTTTTCTCTTATGACTCTTGGGGGGGGTCTTCTCATAGATGGTGCTTTCTGTGCTGTGGATGAGCAGCCTTTGTATTTCTAGGGCACTCGTGGTGCCTGTCCTCAGGGAAGCTGAACGGTATCTCTTTTTAGTCTGCCTAATTCCATCTGACAACAAATCCTCAGAACTGTTTTCTCAGTGAAGTTCTGGGGCTCAGGTGAAGGTGTTTGAGTGTCCTTATGCCTCTTCTTTGAGCTTTTTTTTGGCTTCCTTCTTCATTTAAGGCCGTGTTTCATGTTAGAGATATATTTCTTTAAACCCTGTCACCCATCATTTTGTCTTCAGTTTTGTTTCTAGCAAACCTCTGAGCTCTTTGTTGAAGTTGAAAAATCAATCCTAACAGGCTTGGGCAAACTTAATATGCTTTTCTAGAAGCTGGCAGTATTCTTTAATAAATTAGTGGATTGGGAATTTTGTTTGAAAATAATGAGAACTAGAGGAGTGTCAGACACTGTGACAGGACTGAGGAACTTTCCAGTGATCCTAAAATATGTAGCACAGATAGCCACGTATCCTGCCTCCAGGTGAGGTTGGTACCCACCAGCGCACTATGCCGCCATTGTTGGAACTACTCACGGGTGGCAGCTCAGCCTGAGGTGTCCTGCTTCCTGTAGGACAAGTCCCAAGTGAGTTAGGAAATCTTTTGCCCCAAACCATGCTCCTCATCAACTCCTGTCCCCAGGGTTCAGGGCTACCAATGGGTATGATATGTGATAGACACCTGCAGAAGCTACTCAAAGTCCAGGTATGTCACGGAGTCCTCCAAGGACCTGACTTGACTGTGGCGGTGGCTCTTGAGTTACAGTTACTTGCTTGGTTCTTACTGTGTCCTGCCTTTTAGTGTTTGCCATCCTACCGTGTGTGTGTGTCATGTTTCCTGGGAAAGCTTGTAAGGAGGACCTGAGTCTGGATAGTCTGTGAATATCCTCAGGTGATGTATATGTTTCAGATCTACAGCGCACTGTCAAGGCCGTAATGCTCACTTAGTAATTTTACTAATTAATTGTTTATATTAGATGCTGTTCCCTACTAGTGGAAAAGAAGCATCTGATCTCAATGGTTGAGAACTGTTTCATGTATAGTGAAAGCCCAAACTTTTATGGTTGTATCCTTTTAAAGGGGATTTTGTAAATGGCTGAGATTCTTTAAAGGTTAGGAAATGATATCATCAGAGCATTTGTTGTCAGCAGAATTTAGCAGTGGACTTTGATAATAAATTTGCGTTTATTCAAATTGGGTTCACGTTAACACATCTTGCAGTGTAATTGGGCAAATAAAGCTATAAGGAGTAAGAGGAGACTGTTACTACATCTATTTTTTAAAGCACCTTTATCTATATAGTTATTCTTCTTTGTTTTAACTAAGCATCACTCTGGTATAGGGATCCTGAAGATGTTTTTTTTGTTTACTGGACTATTTTAATGGTGGCTGCATTGTTTTTGTACCTAAGAGCTGAGATAACTAGGTTCAAATTGAATTGCAGCTAGAACTAAAGGTATAATTTATTTATTTTTTTATATTTTGGGACGTCTGCTTATAGCTGGCCGAATAATATTTCACTAGTTTTCTTGTGCTGATCACTCTTGAAGAATATTTATAATCCACATAAACCTTCTATTTTTATGCAGTTAGTATGTTATGTCCATTTGAGTAGCCCTGAAAGGCTATAGTGAGGGCTGGGCGGGGCCCATTTTTAAATATTCCCCTTTAATTGGTTCATCACTAACAGCCCAGCAGTGAGTCACCCTAATTTGAAATCTGTTAAGTCTGGACTAAAGCCAGTCTTGTTTGAGTGATTTTTTTTTAAAGGACACCTTGGCTAGCCAAAAATGAAAGCGTTTCATAGCCTCCTTCTTGATGAGTAATAATGAGTCTCTCGCAGAGTTTGGCAGGAGGCATTTGTTATGGACAACAAATCCCGGAGGAGGCTCAGGGTGGCAGCTGCCTCAGAAGCTCCACTGCAGACCTCATGGCAGCCCCTGGGTCTGTCCTGGAAAACTGGCTTAGGGTGTCCTGACTTTCTGTGGCAGCGAGTGAATGAAGTATTGTCACCGTAGTAGTTATTAGCTATGAACTGGAAAAAAAGAAACCCTCATGCTGGTTTCTCAAATGGAAAATATGAATGAAACAACTGGCTCTTGACCATAGCAGGGTCTTTTTAAACGGAATGCTGGTCTGGAACTCTACACGGCCCACACACAGGTACAGTTCGTGTGTGTGTATGTGTACACGGACACACACACACGCACATAGACATTCTCTCTCTCTCTCTCTCTCTCTCTCTCTCTGCTGGCTAGCCAGGTCTTTGTCTTCCCTTCATACAGCTGATGTTAGAGCATTAGCCCAAGAAGGAAGTAAACACTTTCTCTTCTATGACATTTTGCCATTAAGAAGACTAAGAGCACATTACCCTTTTGTGTTGTCTGCTCATCTCACTTGCTAATCTTCTCCTTTTATCAGCAACTGGGGTGGTGTGGGCCCATTTTTGACAGCCAGATTGTGATTTTGCTACTCACTTCCCTTCAGTGATCCAAGTAGTAATTATGAGCCATTTGATCCGAAAGCATCTGCTGTGAGAACATGCAGAGTTTCCATTTTCTCTCCGTGCGGCATACCAAGCAGAAGTAATTTGACATGTGGTTCCAGGACCATTAATATAATAATGATAATAATAAATGCTTCTGTACAAGTTGCCCTACAAGGACAGCTAAAGCAATTTGCAAATGTTAACTGGTTAGTGTGTTGCGGCTGTGGCTGTGTTTTACGGATGTTCCCGCTCTGTGGACGGCCGGTGGGAGACGGCTGTAACGTGGTCTGGCCTCAGCAGCCTCCAAGGTGCCCCTGGTTTTATTGCTGAGCTGTGGTGATTATGCCTGGGATAGGGTAGCGTCGCTATCCAGGCTCAACTTCAGAAAATCTTTGCAGTTTATGTCTTTCGAATACCACCCTTCACATCTGTCCCCCAGCTTTCCCATGAGACTGCTGTGTTCACTTTTTTTTTAAAGGTGCAGAAATGGAGTGCAGAGATAGTGGGTAGCCTGGCTGTCGAAGCCTAATAGGGCCAGTATTGGGCCCAGGTTTTTCTTATTTTTTCTTGTGTTATATTTTGCCACCTCCATTTTGTATTTTCTAGGGACTGGAAACTCTGAATAAGAAATATGCCATTTTTGGGGGGCATGGAGTTGGGGTACGGTGGGGTGGAAAGGAAGTGTAGGGTATGTATGCAGCAATTTTGACAAAAGTAGTGAACCAGGGAACTTTGGATGAATGGTTACAAAGATTAATTTAACATTGCACCTTTGGAAAGGATATACCGGGAAAAGAATTCTCCAGATGGGCCAGTTCTTTGTGTTTATTTTCAAGATTCTCTGTTCCTTTAATGGAAAGAGTGTGATAGAATATTTTATTTGGTTTAAAGAAATTAAAATGTGTATTTTCTACTTGAATAACATTGACTCTTCTGGAGGACATTAAACCAGTGTTTTCTGCAAAAGGACAAAGCCTGGGAGATCTGTAAGCACAACATAGATTTTTTTCTTGTTCTAATTAATTCCACATTCTTCATGCTTTTTGTGCATAGCTAGGTTTCACTTTTCTTGAATTGTGTACATTTATGGGATGTATGGGATAATTTTTTCTTGTCCAGTGTCTTAAAGAGCATCTGAATCTTTGATGGCCTTGGCTGTGATGGGTACCTTCTCTCCTATCATTCACTAGAGCTTAGGTCAACAGTGTAAACCCAGGAAATGATGCCTCAGAGCAGTTGCATGTTCAAAGCTGTGTTCAACTCAATGTAATAGGAATATTTGTTTGTCTTTCTTTCCATCCTTCTATTAATCCCTGCATACTTCCCGCTTCACCAGGACTTGTTCCCTTTTAATAATGAATTAACTTCTCCTCTTGAAACTTTGAGGACCATCAAGAATTAATCAGGGGCAGATAGATGGCCTTGGCCTTCCAAGATAAGGTAGGATACGAATTTGTAGTCACCTCCAGGTTGGTCGCTGTGTGCTGGTGTTTTCTGGGTGTGGCATGGACCATGTTAAGGGCTGAAGGTGGCTAAGGTGAGGGAGACAGAGCCTCTGCTGTGCCTCTCATCTCTGGAAGAAGTAGTTGGTAGGGACAGGTAGTGGTGGGAAATGAACCATCATGGAGGCTGGACTCTGCTTGATGTTATGTCAGGGACCTGCTCATCTAATTGAGTGGAATTAAAGGTGGAAGGAGCAGAGCGAGGGGGCCCCTTCATGAGAGAGGGGACAGCATTTGAAATAAGGCTGAGAGACATGCATGGTTTTGGTAGAGCAGACAGAAAGTTGGAGTGGGCATGGGGGTCAGGGCAGGAGAGCTCCACTCCAGGGGAGTGTCATGTCAGCCATTTTTGTTCGACTGGGGCATGGCTAATGCAGTAGAATAATGGAAACAAAGTGAGAGCATTCTGTCCTTTCCATCTTGTGGGGGAGATGACTGTCAGGCTGACTTTCTGTATAGCATAATGTTGATGCATGCAGGCTGGAGCCAGACTTCCAGAGCGAAATCCCCACAGAAGCAGAGTCACCACTTTATGAGTTTAGAAAGTTCCTGGAATTTTCTGCACCTTATTTTTTCAGCTCTTAAGTAAGGGTGTCATGCCGCCTTCCTGAGAGGTAGCTGTGAGTGGTAAGTGAACTGGCAGCAGGTTGAGAGTTCATTTCCTTTGGCCTCCTATGAGGCAGTTTGGGATGGATGGAATCAGGAGGGCAGCAAAGGTATAGCTGTGAATTTGTGTATCATTTTGTGTACATTCTGCTTGGATAACATTGTTGCTTCTTCAGGGAATCAGTCCAGTTTTTTTCTCCAAAAGGGCAAAGTTTAAAATAGCCTATGAGATCTGTAAGTACCACACAGATTTCTATCTGGTTCTAAGGAATTAATTCCACATTTGTAATGCTTTTTTGTCTTCTACCTGTCGATCCTCAGTCACGCTTTTCCTGTTCTGTTCCTAGTGACTGAACTGTGATTTCCTCTGGCCTTTTTCTGCGTGTGGTTTCTTACTCCACAGTGACCTCTGCTGGGGTTTTAGTTTTTTTCTCAAGAACCACGGTGTAAGAAGGGGGCCTGCACCTTGAAGGCCGCCGCTGCTGTCGCCCAAGCACCTGGTTGAAATCACTTGAAAGTTGTACCTAAAAAAAAAACAAGTTGCACCTGGGAAATGAGCCAAGGAAAATGTGTGACCCATGTGAGCCAGGAGCCTTCAGGAGGAGTGACGTCCAGGCTGGTTCTTGGCATCCCTGGCTCTTGGCATCTGTTCGTCTGTCTGTCTTTCTTTCTTGTTGGCATGTGAGGGGCCATTCATTCTGGCTGTGATCTGCCTTCCAGGAACATGTGCTGAAAGTGACAGATCCACGACAGATCCAGAATGTCACTGCAGAGTTGAGCAATGCATTTTCATAGACACAACACACAAAGATGGATTCTTCCACTGCTTTGCCTGCGCCTTTTCTTTTAAATTTCTTTATTTGCCTATTATAGTTTTTAAATCCTATAGAAGAGGATCTTTTGGGTTGTGTTTTAAAAATGCATGAATTAAAGTAAAATCATTCATCAGTAATAAGTATAATGTATGATGTGTGGTATAAAATAATCTGTTAGCATTGAATTTGCATGTAACATTTTCAGGTGGATAAGGTGTTTTCAGATATATGACCCCCTTTGTTTACAAAAGTTGTATAGCTAAGTAGTAAGCTTGAGCAACAATTATAATAAGAATGTCCCGTTTTACAGAATAGGAGCTCAGGTTTAGCAAGATTGATGTCTTATACCAGGTCATACTTTACTGGTTAAGTGGTACAGTCTGTGACTTTTTGATTTGTTTATTACCATGCTAATAATAATCCAAGAACCAAGCTAGAGGAAAAACACATCAAGTTGCTTAATAAATGTTAGCTATGGTTGTGATAGAGAAGAACGTACTAGCTTGAAGGCATCAGATAGTTGTGGTGGTAAAATTTAGGAAACTATTTTAGGAAAGACTCCTGAAGGTGTTGTGTTTTGGGGGATTTCCTAATGGTGTCTACATGTGAAATAGTGGAAAGATGGAACAAAAATTTCCCCTGGATGGGGAGTTAGTTTTTAAAAAGCTAAGAGAAAAAATTGTGCTTGAAGTAAGTTAAGTGCAATTCAGGGTTAGGCTGCAGAAAGATTTCAGTGGCCACGGGTGAGAATTCACTGGAAAGTTGGCTTGCAGCCTAGATGCAAATTTCACAGTGCCTTCTCACCACAGTCCTAGGCAGGAAGACTGGGTACCAAGGAGCCCATCCATGGGTTGCAGTGTTCCAAGTTAAGTGCAAAGTGGGCCGAAGGCAAGAGGAGTCAGCTGACTTCACTCACCGCGCTGGCTTCAGCTCCCTCTGTGTGGGATGAGTGCAGAAGTACAGGCTGGTCTGCCCAGAGGGTTCAAGTGGCCAGTGACGTGAGGGGTGTGGAATGGCTACGGTAACTGCTTCATCAGTGAAGGGAACAGCTTTTCAATACTTTCCTTCATTTGTTCCTCCAACCTGTCTGCATTTTCTTCTGGCATCTAATAACAGGTTGACGAGCTCCTGCATCTATATGGGTCAGCAGTAGATGGCGCTCCCCGAGACAACTCCTGGGAAATCCAGACTTACATTCACTTCCAGGATAATCAAGGCGTTACTGTCACAATCAAGCCAGAGCACAGAGTGGAAGATGTTTTGACTTTGGCATGCAAGGTAATGGCTGTGCTGCAGGAATATATTTCTGAATAGAAATAGTCAGCACTGCACTGCTGTGTCTTCCCATCTTGGGTCATGTGTAAGACCACATTTGCTATGCTGGGGGACATATTAGTGAATTTGTTAATATACTTTATAAATTTACAGTCTATTTCTCCTTCCCTTTAAAAGAATGAGTTGCTAGGCCACAATCCTATGCCTCCATGAAGAACCTCAGTTATCTCCGTTATGTTCTAAATTCTTTGTATCTTGAATGATTGTGATGTCTATTACTATTTAAGTTACTTGGACATGGTGCTGTATATAAATCTGGTATGAGCTTTGGAGTGGTTTGATTTAATCCTAAACTGTTGGATTATGTTTCTCCAGTTAGATAAATAGCTCCATACCATTCACAGTTCCTTCCTAGAAATTGATATGAATTGATATTTTTATTCATTATTCAAACTGGCCTTTATTGCCAGTATAAAGAGGAAGTATGCAATACATTATAAAGACAGTCTATGGAGATGAATACTTGTGTGCAGGGAGCACAGAGCAGAACTTTTGCACCACTAGGTGGCACACTGGAGCTTAAATATTTACATCTCCAGAGAAAGGGCACTTTAAAAAAATTATTATTATAAAGAGAATTTAAAAAAAAAGTACAATAACAACAACCTAGAGAAAAACAAAACAAAGTGAAGACAATAAAAATAACACAGGGTTTCAGAACAGATTGATAGGAATTAACAGTGGTTATTGTATTACATATTGTTACCTTCAACAATGTTGCTCAGATTACCAGACGTAAGAATGCAAGATTGATCAAACCATTAAAAAGAATAAAAAATAATAAACCATTAGAAATGATGCAGAGCTTCCCCAAACAAGATGGCGGGAACTCACCAATGGTTGTTACAAGAAAGTGCACTCTTGTATATGTAATATAAAAAGGAAATCCTTTGGGAACTCTCATCCATGTCCACTTAATAGATATGGATAGTTTAATATTAGGCCTCCTTGGTTACTTGGACTTGAGACCTCAGGATAATATACATTTATGTATGTAGCTTGTTTCCTCAGGAATTTAATTGCCCTTTGCTCCACTATATGTTGGTTTTTATTCAGAAAAGCAGCAGTGTTGTTCAGTATGAATACTATTTACTCTTATACTGATATGTTTTGATGGTGTTAAAAGGGTGTCAGAGGTAGTGGGTTAATTAATCCCACTGCAGCACAGTCCAGAGGTAAATTTCTCACTGTTAAAACTGTGATGAGAAAAAAGGTGAGAGAGAAAAAAGAGGGCATGTGTGTGTGGCTTTTCCTTTTGAAAAGTTTTGGAATATGAAGTTTCTCACTGTGAAGTCTGTTGGACCTGAGTTTGTTTCATTTTATGCATTTCTTAGGTTAGTAATGGGAGGCAACTTACCGTAAGATGCAACCAATACATAAAAAGATGTAATTTTGCTGAAATGCTGAGATATATTTTACATTCAAATGTATCCTACCCTAATTTCTTACAAATGTGTCTCTTGCCTTTAGTGATAATATTTAGAGAAAGCCTTCTTAAAGATAATTATTTGTCCCTCCTTCCTTGTACATTTGAATTTGAGCTCTTCTTTAAAGTCAGCAAATTATGTTCAGTCTTCTTTTAGAGAGATCTAATTTGATTTCTAATGAGCCTGTTGAGCAGTGATGAGTTTAGAAAGAACACTTAAAATCTGAATAACTTGCTTTATAGATGAGGCAGTTGGACCCCACTCACTATGGCCTTCAGCTTCGGAAGTTAGTCGGTGAAAGCATGGAGTGCTGTATTCCTGCACCGTGTGAATATGTGCAAGAGCAGGCAAGTGTGCATTACCGTGTGTGTGTGTGTGTGTGTGTGTGTGTATGTATTTGGATTTTTGAGACAGAGTCTCACTATGTAGCCGAGGGTGGCCTTGAACTCACAGCAGTCCTCCTACCTCAGCTTCCCTGGTGCTGGGATTGTAATTGTGTGCCACCATGCCTGGCTAGTTTGGAAGCAGTCTTCATCTAAAGTGTCTCTTAACAGTTTTCTTATTTTGTTATGAAAAATAGTGTCAAAATAATTTTTTAAGACATCATAATATCAAAATCTCTGTTTTTACCTTTTGTAGGTTTATGATGAAATAGAAATCTTTCCACTTAATATTTATGATGTGCAGCTCACGAAGACCGGGAGTATCTCTGACTTTGGTAAGTGTAAAGAGCACCGTCATCAGAAAACCACTGAGTTTATCTTTGCCTATTTTACCCTGGTATCTTTGGACCTAGTTTTTTTTATGATCACATTTTCAGAATATATGATGCTAGTTTCTGAACTTTGTCTTTTTTGTTGCTATTTACTTATATTAGCAGACTAAGAAGGTATGTGGCAATGTTGAGAAAAATGCCAAAGTAACTAAAAATATTGCATATTAAGAACTGATGAGATATTTGGAATGATGGCTACAGTTATAACTCAGTGAATGTACTGTTTGCCAGGTGCTTTTCTAAGCAGATTAACTCATGATTTTCATGACATGACAGTTCTTTCATCCCTAGTGTCTGTGTTCTTAGCTTCTTTTACCCATCTGGAGTCCTGTCCTTCCCCCTAATCTCCTCCCTATCCTTTTTCTCTGATTATGTGAATCTTATCTTTCCTTCCATAACTAAGTCAAGTTCTAATCTGATTGCTTTTATCTCTCTTTCTTGAGTTTAACAATTAGAGGTCAGTACTTCCCAAATCACTTTGTGGGGTTTAATTCTTGCATTTCTTTTGGTCTTTATTTAAACTTGACTGCAAACCCTTTGTACACTGTGCTCCTATCTTAAAGTTTCTTTCTTTTATTGTCCTGTAAAGGCAATATTTGGGTTATGATCAGTGAATATAGCCATAGAAAGGCTCTCATCTTAAGAAATATATTGATACAGCCTAATTATTTTCCTTAAAATGGTTCAAATTGATGATGTTAAAATTTCTTAAGATTTTGTTGTTTGTTTCTTATTTACATAATCAGTTTTTACCCAAATGTTAGTTGGTGTTTCTTTGACACCCTGTTAGCTTTTGTCTACTTCTCTTGGCCTGCATGCTGCTTGCCATAGCTGCCTCTGGTGTCTTCTTTGTGTTTGAATGGCTTACAAAGATTGGGTGACCGCAATCCACCAGCTTCTGCAAGAGGAACAGGGGACTCAGGGAAATAGGACACTCTACTGATCCTCAGAGAAGCCCTAGTATCTGGAGTCCCAACATGGCAGCATCTGCTCCTGGCTGTGATAGAGGGGAAGGCGTTCTCCAGGCAGGGGGGATGCCCTCAGAGCAGGGAAACATACAGGGTTATGGCTTCATGTTTAGGGCAGTGCTGTAGCCATCTAGGATTTTGTTTTGTTTTTGTTTTCGTTTTACACCTTCTTAGAGTACTTAACCACATGCACAGTTTTTTTTTTTTTTCTTTTCGTTTTTGTATTGAGGTGCATATGTTGCAATAAGATTATCTTTTGGTCTGAAAAAAACACAAAAACTTAAAATTGTGATAAAGTACATATAACCTCAAAAGCTTATCATTCTAACCACGTTTAAGTGTACCATTGTGTGGCATGAAGTCCATTCACATCCATGTACTGCCATCGCTGCTGTCCGTCTGTAGAACTTGTCATCTTGCAGCGCTGAAGCCAGTCATCCTTAAACACTGCCTCTCCACTCCCTCCTGCCTGAGCCTCTGCCAGCTGCTGTCCTTGGGTCTCTACTAATTGGACAGCTGTGATTACCTCACAGAAGTGAAATTATGTAATATTTGTCCCTTTGTGACTGGCTTGTTTCACTTAGCATAATGTCCTCGAGGTTCACCCATGGTGCAGCACGTGTTAGAGTTTTACTCCTTTTTAAGGCTAAGGAATACTCCATTGTGTGTATAGGCCACACTTTGTTTATCCTTCTATCTCCCCTTGGACTGTCGGGTGGCTCTACCTGGTGGCTGTTGGGAATACTGCTGCTGTGCACGTGAGCACAGCTTCTGAAAAAGGTTGTGCCTGCTCACATCTTAAGCCTTCCATTCTCCGTGTTCCTCTTTTTCTACCCTTGCTGGATTATTTGTGCTACTGTAACTTAGAGTTTCCTAACATGCTGTGCTTATGAGAAGAGGTGTTCCGGGAAATGCTGCCGATTGGGTTGGAGGAGTGAACGAGTGAGGTGAATTTAGACTTGTTTTTTTTTTTTTTTTTACCTTACTAGGGTTTGCAGTCACAGCGCAGGTGGACGAGCACCAGCATCTCAGCCGGATCTTCATAAGTGACGTCCTCCCTGATGGCTTGGCGTATGGAGGAGGTCTGTGTGGCACTGTGTCTCTCTTCCCCTCCAAATTGCAATCTGTGGCATGCAGTCTGGCTAATGAAATTTGGCAGAAAATCCTGTATTTGTGTGTGTGTGTATGTGTGTGTGTGTTTGTGTATGTGTACCTCTCTGTGTGGCACTGGGGATTGAACCCAGAGCCTTCATACTGAGCTACCTGCCCAGGTCTATTTCTTTTAATCTTTGAAATAGGATCCTGCTAAGTTCCTCATGCAAATCTCCAACTTGTTATCCTCCTGCCTCAGCCTCCCAGAGTACTGGACTTACAGGTGTAAGCTAGCACACCTGGCTACATCCTGGGATTATAAAGAAAGTAAACTTTAGAGTTTAATAGAAAATGCATCTGCGCATTTACAGAGAGAGGGGCTGAATGTGAGAGACAAACAAATGCAAACAAAACAAATGTTATTTCCCAGGGCTTTTACTCCAGAGCACTAGCACAATAAGTAGTGAGTGGCTGCTCAGATTGTTTCCTGTTCAGTCTTTCTAGAGTTAGCTTTGAGAGAGCTTTTTTTTTTTTTTTTTTTTTTTTAAAGCTTCTTATGCATAGTGTTGAGTGTGCAACATGAATTACTTTTGTTTTCAGATAGGGTGTCACTACATAGTTCAGGCTAGCTTTGAATTCACACCATAAATCAAGCTGATAGGGTGTCACTACGTAGTTCAGGCTAGCTTTGAATTCACACCATAAATCAAGCTGGCCTTGAGTTTATGGGAATCTTCATGCCTCAGCCTCCTGAGTGCTGGGATTACAGGTGTGTGTCACCATGCCCATCTTGTTTTGTTATCAGTGGCATCCAACTGCTACACATTATGGTGTGTTCTTTGAGGAAGGTGACAAGGAAACAGTCCTGCCAAACACATCGTTTGAGTCTGCAGGCTTCTTACCTCATACAGTTTCTGTCAGTGGTCTTACATCTTTTCCTTCTGTTTCCCCTTCCTTGTTCTCAGGATTGAGAAAGGGCAATGAAATCACGACCTTAAATGGGGAAGCCGTGTCGGATCTTGACCTTAAGCAGATGGAGGCTCTGTTTTCAGAGAAAAGTGTTGGACTTACTCTCATCGCCTGGCCTCTGGACACAAAAGCAACCCTGTGCACTTCCTGGTCAGATGGTGACCTGTTCTCCAGGGACCAGAAGGCTCTGCTGCCTTCCCCCAACCAGTCCCAGCTGCTGGAGGAATTCCTGGACAACTTGAAAAAGAATCCGGCAAATGGTGAGGCTGCGTACTGTCTTCTTACCTACTGGTACCAGTGGCTAGGGTTCTTTGGCTGCAGTTTTGGCTGCAAACTCAGATTAGTTAGCCTGCTCAAAGAATGCACGCTAATATATTAGGAGAAGAGCACAGATGCCATCCAGAGCAGTAGATTGTACCATGAGTCTCTGCCTTTATTTTATAATTGTAGTGATTTCATGAAATAGAAAATAATTATTTTTGCACAAACTATTCTTTATAATTGCAGGTTGCGTTGCATAAATGCCAAAGTGGTAAGATTTTGCTTGCCAAGGGACATCTAAAGCAGGAGCATTTCATGGTGACCTTGTGGCTCCTGGGGCAGCTGGTGCAGTTCAGTTCTTTGTCTCCTTTGTCAGGGCCTGCTTTCCTCAAAAAGTAGTGAACTCTTAAAGTAGGTCATGTATTTCAAAACTTTGTGAAGGACTGAAACTGAAAAATTATATGCCAGCGTATTTTTCTCAAGGTAACATTTCTGTATGAGGAAGTCGTGTGAAGGTTTGAGTTTCTGAGCTTGTCATTCATCCGTGTTTTGTGCGTTTCAGTCTGGTGAATCGGAGGCTCTGGCTGATGCAGGGCCAAGTCCCTGGAGGACACTGGTCACATAGAGTTTTTATCCTGGGGGTGCACAGCGTCATTTGTGTACCTTACTGAAACGATGATGGCTTCTAACTGAGATCTCTGTGTGATTACCAGAAACGAATGCAAAACACAAAAGAGAAGTGGTTAGGATGAATTTAATTACAAAGGAAGTTTATTAGGTTATTTTTAGAATTAAAAAAAAAATCAGAGTGTAAGTTTTGTGATTCAATAAGGTATCTGATGCTTTATCCTCTCTTGGGCCTGTCCTACAATTTAAAATATTATTAAATCAACTGTTGGAGTATAACAGTGAGTGTCATAAAACAAAAATTATAGTGGAACTAATTAATTACTTGGTTATATTAGGGCCATCATTCAGCTACCCTGAGCTGCTGTTGCAAGCCTGAGTATTCCATAGAATATATGCCTGTGTCCATTTGCTGGATTCATTATTCTTGAGGCATACATTCAGCACCTGTGTTCCACATCTATGTATTTTATCATAAGAAATCACTGCAGAGTATATAATATTCTTGAGAGTTTCATGAATGAATTCCTATGGACAATAGCAAAAGGGACCGATTTGCCGTTTTTTAAATAGTAAGGATCAAGCAGGTGCATTGGTTCTTACTTTTTGCAAGGAAACAGAATAAAGAGGCAGTCCTGGGTATATCAGGCAGCTCTGCTTTTTCTCATCCTGGGCGGCCATTGTGTGGGCCACAGCCTTGGTAACTTACTTACGTGAGGACTGGATGTCTGTATATACAGAGGTTAGTTAGTAGATGGTGGCACTGCTTGTCTGTAGCCAGCTTGCCACTGGTAACCACCGGTTCATGGCAGCACATGTCTCTGTAGGCTCCTTTCCGGGACAGGGTATCCCCACCAGCCAGGCGAGAGCCCCTGGCCCCTTCCTTGCTGGGTTCCTGCAACGCTTCTCTGTGAGGTGGCATTCTCCCAGACAGCACACCACCCTACTGCCCAGGTTTTACTGCCCACGCCCCCTCCTGAGCTCCAGGGGACTGCTGCATAGTACCATGCTTGTGTTGGAGACAAAGCAGCCACAGTGGAGTGCTTCTCTGTACTCTTTACAAACGTGGATTTTCTTTTTCTTCTGTTTGAGGGTAGTTGCGTGGCGTGTAAAGGAGGTTAGATGTCTCACAAAGCAGTCTGTCTGTTTTGAAGGTTGGAGAGAAAATGAAGTATGATGTGGGTGGGTGAGAACTTCTAACAGAAAAGACAAGAGGGAGCCTTTCATTTGTACATTTGATGCTGTTTACAAGAGACACCTGGGTTGTGGAGGCGCTGAGAAGCAGCCGTGGGAGGGGCACACAGGCTCTGAGTCAGGCTTGGGTTCCAGTCCTTGGTTGTGCAGCCTGCAGTGGAGCCTTCGGCCAGTGCCATGGGCCTTGGAAGATGCTACCCATCTCCCTTTCCCTTGTGCGTGCCGTCCTCCAGAGGACCCTGGCATCGAGCCCCAGCTGCAGACAGCAGCCTTTTCTACACCTTCCTCCAGCTTTCTGCCTATCTCACTTCCTGCTTTCCAGATCCCCTTCCAGCACTCAGCCCTCGGCTTATCCTCTGCTTTTGTGGGAGCCCCATGAAGACCTTGGGCCTTGATTTCCTCTTCTAGAGGATGAGCTTCTCCCCTGCCTCATGGGCTGCTGGGAAGTTGCAGGAGGCCATGAGGGCAGCACGCCCAGCCCTGTCCCCACGGGCAGGTATCTGAAACCTTCACTCTCCTTCCTCCTCTTTCCTTTGCAGCTTAATATTTTATGGAAGGTTACTTTGATTTGCTTTTGCCAAGAAATATAAAACAGTACAAAATTAAAATTTACAGAAATGAACATGTAAGTGACTTTGTAAAACAATGGTAAATATATACAACTTAGAATTACGCTTACTGGTGGTCACCTTAGTCTGCCTGCGTTTACATTTCCATTACTAGAAGGTGGCTGTGTACTTGAAAAGAGGAAGCCTTGATGTCCTTTTTCAGAGAAGCTGGTTCTCCACTTGTTAATGGCTCTCAGAGGGAGAAGACCTGTTTTTTTTTTAAAAAATAGAAGCTATAAGAACATCAGAAGGTGGAGGAGAAGAAAGCCTTCAGCATTTTTTGGTGCATATTTTGACCATCCCAGTGTAATATTTAGTGACCCCTTCCTGGGTGTGTTGAAACTGTATGAGGCCCTGAGTTCCAGCCCCAGCACTGAAGGCAAAAGAAGCCATCGTATTAACTTAGCTGGGAGCACACAAGTATATGGCAGCACTAGGAGAGGCTGATTGCAACTTCAGACCCAGCCTGCACAACACAGCAATTTAACAAGATCCTACTTCAAAATAAATAATAATGTAAGAAAAGTCCTGGGAATGCAGCTGGGTGTGAAGGTCCTGAGTTCAATCCCAAGTACCAAAGGAAAGAAAGGAGGGGGAAAAAAGAGTTTGAGGCCCCAGGAACAAGCTACGGTGAGCTCAGGGCTGTTGGTCTCTCTTGGGTTTGACCAGACATCCCGACAGGTATGTTGGTTAGCCTTAGTCTCTTGATTAGGCTGGAGAGGAAAAAAGATGTACCTCTGTATCTCTGACTGAGAGAAGTGATAGTTACACTGTAGGCCCCAAAGAGGCAGGGAAGCGGTTGTGGGTTGCTGCTGAGGCTCTGTACTTTTCTGGAAATGAGGCATCCTGTTGGTATTTGAGATTCCTTGGTCTGTGTAATGTTTAATGAAATAGGAGTCCAACTTCACAGTGCAGGCCCAGAGCCTCTCACCTGATGAGTTTAGGAAAATGTGAATACCTGGGTCCTGTGTGTTCTTCAGGCAGTTCAGGGCAGTGCAGACGCTGCCCCTCACCAGCCCAGGTGGGTGACCTGCCACTGGATGGCCCTGGGTGGCCTCTGCCTGTTTACACTGCCCCCTGGCCACTAGTGGGCAAGACATGAGCTTGAACCTGAGCAGCCTGTTGGCTGTTTCGGGAGCCTTGCTCTGCTGAGGTTTTGAGTCTTGAAGGTGTCAGGTTCTCACCCTCACAGTCTTTCTAAGTGCTCAGAGCACAGCCCCTGAGCCCGAGCTCAGGAGACCCTGTAGCATCCAGCAGAGGGGCACGTAGAGAAGCGAAGAGCACCCATCAGTCCCCGGCCTTGCCCTCTACTCTGTGGTTCCAAGAAGCAGGACAGAGGGGAATGCACCTCGTTCAATATGGAGTTCCTTTGCCTTCTGAGACATGAATGGCCATTTCATTTTTGCCTCTAACGGTTGAATTTCTGTTCTGGTTATCCATAGCAGGGAGCGGAAATGTCCACGGGCTATATTTGACTTGAGCGGAAATATCATCTGTGAAGACTTTTATAGACAGAATTAATTTTACCACTGGAATTCCCCAAAGAGTCCAGTGTTATTTTAGAGCCAACAAGGCCACCATTGAAGGGACTGGCTGGACCAGAGCTGTTTATACTGAGATCCTGTGAATGCTGCTTTTGTGAGTTATGTATGAAAATCCCTGTTGTAGTGTTTGCCATCTTTTGAACAGTTCCAGCAGCTTTTAGGCAAGTCTCATTGGGCGTAGAGCTCCTGGGCGAGTCTTTATGTGCACACTGGGCTTCCTGTGGCATCGATGTGTTCTGCTGCTACGAACAGCCTGGTTGGGACAGCGGGTGGATTTGGCAGGAGACGAAATAGACCTGTGTTCCTGCTCCACCTAGGCAGTGTGAAGCTTGCAAATGCTTTCCAGATGGTGAAAGTAATTGTGGCCTGAGGTTCTCTTTGAGCCGCCCACCCCTGGAATCCCAGTCTCTTTAAATTGATGTCTGAGTGGGACACAGTCTTAAGCAACCAGAAGCCACTTAGAGTTGAGCTTGCTTTCTGGGATGAATTGCTCATGGGCCTGTGTGTGTCCATTGGATATTGCTTTTTACCGGTGGAAAGAATTGCGGAGACCCGCTCAGTTCCTGTTTATGAGAGCACTGGCATTTTGGCGTCGTAGTTTGTTTAGAATGACTAACAGCATTTAGCTTGGAGAATGCTCTGTTTGTGTGTAAATTGCTGTCGCTGAGTCTGTCTGGCGGATACCCCAGGTTCCCGGATGTAAAAACATGTTCGTGTTCCTAAGGAAGGGTGGTATGCTTTCTTTAAACAATTTTTTTTTTTTTTTTTTTTTTAATTAGGAAATACCGGTTCTGGTTACTTGGGACTTTGGTTTCAGAAATCTTGGTTCCTTTTAACTGTGCTGCAGTTCATTTGCAGTTTCATCAGTAGCAATGAGTATATGGTTTTCTTTTACCAGTAGAGGGAGTTAACATCCGTGGATACCAATCTCCTTATGTAACTGAGTTTTGTTTATGACTTTGTTTCTTTTTTTCTCACTCTCAATCATCTCTTCACTTATTTGACTTTTTCGCTCCATAAAAGTGA